ATATAACCCCTGACCTCATTGGAATTGCGCACGTCTGATTGGTTAATGATGGAAATGAGGTCAACTTGCTAACCGTTAGCAATTGCTAACGGTTAGCGCTAACCGTTAGCGCTAACGGTTAGCGCTAACCGATCGGGCGTTCTCACGCAGTTGCTAACGGTTAGCGCTAACGGTTAGCTCCCGATCCGGATACTACGGCTCTCGTGAGAACCAGGCCTATGTGAGTTAAACGCAGACGCGATGGTGTGCGTCGGGGGAAGTCGCGTCGTAGAATATTAAACATGTTTAATATTTCTCACGACGGCTCAAGACTGTCCCCGACGATGAATCGGGTCGGGCTGCGTCGGCCGACGCTGCCTTTAAGCCGACGCTTTGGATTCGCGTGAATAAATTCGCCTAGTAGAAAACAGGCTTAAACCGGCTCTTCCCAAGCCACTTATACGTTATAGGAAGTAACTTGTTATTTAAAGCCTGTTTTATCTTAGTATGGTTATAAGAGCCACTAAAAATCATCGAAAAGTAATAATATTTTACGTTATCAGTATCAGTTTTAAGCATGTTTTTTTTTTAAAGTCATTTGACGTACTTAAATTAATTGATTTGACATCATCTGAACTTGATGAGCTTAAAGGGCTGCTAGGTGGTACGTATCGTTCTCGGGGCGTTAAGACTTCTTCTTTCCTTTCGTTTTCCTCATTCTTCTCTTCCTTCTTCTCTTCCTCCAAATTCTCTATTTCTTTCTTCTCTCCTTCCTCTTCCTCATCCTTCGACTCATCCTCTTCGATTAATCCCATGCTGATTAGATGCGTACGAACGTTATCCTCAATAGTAGCATCGTTGTCTAATAAAAGTTGACAGCACTCCTTGAAGTGAAGAAGTGCTGCGATTTTTAGCGCAGAAGCTCCAAGTTTGTCAGTGGCACAGATAACTTCCTTTACGACTAACCTACAAATTATTAGTAAAAGTAAACTTAGACCATAAGCCTGCATGATGTGAATTCGAAATAGAGACTCCCAGGAGGATTTTTACAGATGGAGGGTCCAGACCTCGGACCCCAGTTACGTCTCCATGTTCACCAAAGATGTGTATAAGAGACAGGGTGGGGGAAGGGCCCCCGTCGGGGAGAGTCCCCACCCCGTCTGAGAAAAAAAAAATTAGGCCTATATGTATTTTCTACATATTAATAGACTACAAATTCGATTAAATAAGCCTTTGAAAATCCTAAATTGTCATATTTTTCGGGGGAACACTTCGATAGATTTTAAGCGAAGCCTTACCACGCCAACTTTTTTTCGTCGGGGACATCGGTTCCCCCGAGGACCTCGGACGCCCTGTCAGGGAAACCCTGGCGACGCCTCTGCCCAAACGTTTTATCTCATTCTGGTTTATTATTTAAAAAAAACAAAAGAACACACACACACACATTTGGATCTGGCAGTACAAAATGCATCAAAATGTACATGGATAAAAAATGGTAAAACAATAAAAAACAAAAACAAAAAAGCAAATAGGCCTATACAATACAGATTAGCAACAATTTTAAAACAGGAAAAAAAATCCATCCATCATTTTACCTGGAAACACGCCTAGTTTGCAATTATGTATCATTAATTACATTTGAGTTGAATATCGGGACTGAGGTACGCAATTTATAGAATGGCACTTTCAAACTTGAATGCAATGTTCTCCTTTAAAAAAATTGGAGTGGGGGGTTACACAGTACTTCTATGCTTACGTGAATCAGAGACCAAAGTGGTGTTTTTGCCCCTGTAAGTATTACCAATTTCCTAATTGCTTATAGAAATGACGTTAGTCACTTCTTCATTTTGTACAGTAATATACAATTTAATTATTTTGCTTATAATGCCAATAAAAACCAGGGCTGTAGCTGTATAAAACTAAGGGTGAGTGATAGACATTTAAGGGTGGGTGGGTGATAACATTCGTAAACTCTGAATAATATGAGTGGATTTTAAGGTTGGAAAAGTGGGTTAATAAGGGCGGGTGAAGGGCCATAACATTGGCTTTAGACTGGGTGGAAAACTTCAATGCTGGGTGGTCCTCAGGCCACCATAACTACATCCCTGAAAAACAAGAGGTGTTGAAGCCAAAACATTGATTTTTTATGTTTAGTTTATTTTACTTCAAACATCATCCAACAGCTATAGAAAGTAAAGCCAATTAAAAAATACTATACAAATGAAAAATTATTTACAGAATAAACATTATTACATTAAAAATTTCTTAAATTTTAAAGATATATTGCACATATAAACATTACAAAAAAAGGACGGATAATAAACGATATCGATTTTATAAAAAAAAAAATTAAAAAACAGTTAGGGCCTATGTACACATTAAAATGCATATTAATAAATTTATACACGCACTTATTAATGGGTTAGGTGAATGATGATATATTTATTTTCTATTACACTTGTTATTTAGTTGTCGAACTACTTACTCTGTATCACATTTTTGTTTCAATGCGTTGATAAGTATCTCCATGATCTCATGAAAACCTCTTTCGGCGGCATAATGAATCGGATACCTTAAGATAAAAAGGAGAAAGTTTAAAAGATAAAAAAAAATGCTAAACCGCAATATTTTGTACCATATTATTGTATAAATAGTAAATTAATTATGCCCACCAGTGGCCGGCAGGACATAACCTTCCTGCCCATTCTCAACAATTGGTTGGTCTTAACCAATAGATTAATAACCTAACACTTGCCTTCCCTTCTCGTCTTTGATGTGTGTCCATCCGTCAACCCTGTCGCACAGTATTTTTACCGTCTCAACATTGCCCTTAATGACAGCTAGCACCATTGCTGTGTGTCCGTCGTTGTTTTGAACGTTTCCATCGATGCCATGATCCAGTAGAAAGTTGCAGATTTTGGTATGATCCTTGTGAGCGGCATGATGCAAAGCCGTCCAGCCCTAGGTAAACAGCACATGCATTTTAACAGGTCGTAAGAATTTCATAAAATGGTCACATAAACAAGTAACTGTTCCTTAGAATATGCGGACCGATCACTAAACCCCGACCTTTGGATATTGATGGCAAAGTCCCACAAAAGGCACGTAAACTCGTGCGCGTGTGGATTCTGGAACATGTGTGTTTGTAGAACAGGCGAGTTATTATGGTCGTGCTCTGACTGGTCAGATTTTATGTTTGATTGGCACACTCTCTGGAAAGGTCCATTAAATCTGAATGTTGCGTGATGATTTGTTGACAACCAAACGACATGTTAGGCCACTAATGAAAATGGGAGATGGTACAAGTTACCTGTCCCACCGTTTTGATTTGCTCTGTCGATAATTATGATAACAATAATTCTTTTCTCATCTTCAAAGTGACTTTTATTTTATTCCGTATTAAATTTACAGTCAGATAATGACATTTATATATTAAATTGATATACAAGAAAATAAAAAGGAAGGCAATGACCAAAGAAGATTAAGTAAAACATTTATTATGATGAATTGGGGCGCCGTGTACAAAAGACGGGAATGGAGGCGCTTCGTAATGTACAAGCCAAGACGTTGTGGACAAAATTTCGTTTAGTTTCGACAAGTTAGTGATCATGCATAATAATCAGAGCCAGATTAACATAGGAGCTTTTGGGGCGCCAGTCCCAGGCCCAGGCCCACATGCCCCAATGGGGAAATATAGGCCCCCGAACCCCAGAAAAAAAAATCATCGAAAATCTGGTTTTATGTTTTAGTCACAGAGTATTTAGACCAACTTGCAATTACAGCCCCAGGCCCCACAGCCCTTTAATCCGGCCCTGATAATAACAGAATTTGGATTGCCAATAGATGGTAGAGCGACACATTGATTTTGACCAGACTCCTGCACCTCGGAGGATAGAATTAGTACCATCATGGAGAAAACATACATTTCTATCTACTGAATTCTTGTTTTTAGAATTTTCCAAGATGACTCCACACATATCGGTTCTTCCACTTGACGATGCGTAGACCAGTCCAGATTGGCCTCTAATGTCCTCAGCATCTACGTCACAACCCTATAACAAAAACGATGTGCTTATTAGATTTGAAATAGGTCTGAGAATTAATGGAGAAATACTAACTCACAGTAGGCCTATTTCATTAATAACCCACTAAGATCAGGAGACTTATTTCCATTGGGGCATTATGAGGGCGAATTGGCTCAGCAAAAATCGAATGTATCATCATAAAGTTTAGTGGAGTGATACATTACTATAATGAAGTGGTGATTACATTTTGGGCTTAACATGTCACAGGAAAATGAAATGGTCAAAGAAATTCAATTTTGTTTCCTTGAAACATAACCCTATATGAAATAATATAATGGAATCGCCCTTCTGGCTCATGGCCTACAGGTACAAGTCGGCGGTATGAACTCTATGGATTGATGCACCGTAAACCTCGAATAAAAGCCCAATGAGCTTAATCTCGAGAAGAAGCCCTTCTTGAATTGAAGCCTCTCTTTAGTTGAAAAAGAAGCCCATCTCAAAAAGAAGTCCATGGGCTTCGTCATGTACATAAACTGTACATGAATTTAAAAATAAATAAATTAAAAATACGCTTGGTTTACGCAGCAGTTTAGGGGATTTAAGGCCGGTTAATACACTCCATGATACAGACTGATGTTACAGTGACACTTTATTGTTTTATAGTAGTAATTCTCAAAATTTACAGCATTGAAGAAGTCCCCTCTCTACTTTGCAAAACTAGAATCGAAAAGAAGCCCATTTCGAAAAAAAGCCAATCCAAATGCCGAAAAAAAATTCGAGGTTTTACGGTATTGTTCCTCTTTTGTTATTTTGTTTTCTACTTACTTAGGCTATGTTCTCACACGGCTGCTAACGGTTAGCAGGATCCGCTCAACTTGCTAACCGATACCGCTTGCTAACCGTTAGCGGTATCCAGATACTGCTAACGGTTAGCGCAACCGATCGGGCGTTCTCACGCAGGTGCTAACGGTTAGCGCTAACGGTTAGCTCCCGATCCGGACACTAGGGCTCTTGTGAGAACCAGGCTATAGTGTGCAATTTTATATTTAATGAATTCACAGTATTACAATACACTGTAGGATGTTACCTGGTGAATTAGATTCGTTGAAATGTTGTCATGGTTCATCTGTAGAGCATAGTGTAAGGGCCGCATGCCTAACTTGTCTTGAGTATCTAGTAGGCTTACGTCTCCATGTTCACCAATTTTCTTCGCACACGTAACCTGTAATAATTTAATAACTTAACCATAGAGTGAGGGAAATGCAAAACTTAGTACCAATTAATAAGGTGGTATTATCATCTATCAGGCCTACCTCTGTATACCAAACAATATAATGATTAATAATGGTGGTCATGATCAAGGGTGGTGCCAGGAAGGTGTTGGGAGAGGTTAATGAAAGACCGAACGAACCGGGTGAAACATCAAAATTAGAGGATAATTATCTATCAGCCTATACAGTACGGAGGTGTTTATATAGGCCTACCTATACCAAATAATATACTGATAATAGGCCTACTGTGGTGGAAATCAGGGGAGGCACAAGAAACATGTTGGAAGAGATTAACAAAAGGCCAAACGAAAGGTGAAACACCGAAATTAGAAGATAGTTTGTGAAAATGTGTAGCTTTTGGGAGAGCATCTTTTGACTAATATTTTAAATTTGAAATGATATAGCCTTAACGTGCACGCTATCTCGAATGCGCTTTGATTGCAAATCAATAAGGACCCCCGATGAAGGTTCAGGGTCCTGACGAGAAGTTCTTTTCCTCTTACCAAGGCCCGGACGCATTATTTTTCCCATACACTTTTTAAAGGGCGCTATTTTAGGTCATTTACGTGAACTGATATTTGAATAGCATGCTGGACTTGTTTCGCTTCGCGAAATCAGTCGTTAAAATGGATGAAAGAATATGGAGAAACTACGGCTAAAGCTACAGAGGGTAGGCCCAACCTCTCGTAATTGGTCGAGTGTAGTCGACACAATGAACATTAATGAACTATTGTAATAATATCTCTGTGCCTACTGTTTACTTACAGCATGATCTTAAGTATAAAAGCAGCGTTGAATCTGTTCGGCGGTTATTTGAGTAGTCTTGTAAAATTAAAGATATACATACTAACTACGTACTAGGCCTAGTACTACTGATTCTGAAGGATATCGTTGAAAAATGTTCGGACAATTATATGTATTGTTTTAATGTTGATTTTTTTACATCGTTCATATACAATTAATACCGTACAAATAATAGGCCTATATTTATACAGCAAGCATAATTTTATCAAAACTGACGATGCTCAAGCTATACATTGACTACATGACGTACGGTACTATTTATTAAATGATGTCTACCCAAAAAAATGCTGTAAATAGATCAAAAACCGATAGTACAAAATATTTTTTTTTATTGATTTACAGATTGTTCTACAAAAAATCCTGAAAGTTGACCAGCCAATAAGGCATAGACAACAGAATGCAGCAGCACTCTCTGTCTAATGACTGTGATTTTCTTTCTCATAAAAATTGTAATTATAAAATTGTAAGTTAACGACTGTATCCGAAGTATAATACACATAATTTGTCTTCGAGAATTTCTAAACGTTTACAACACTTACTATACTCTCTCTCTATATATATATATACATATATAGTATATGATTGAAAGGAGTTAGCTGTTAACACTGTTGAATAAATATAATATAGATCAAAGGTACATATACAGTGTTTAAATAAGGACATGATGGAACATCATAGCTATTCAACGAATGAAGTCCTATAAAAGTCATTGTGCAATAAAATTCCTCCGACGGGATTCGAACCTGCGACCGCTCGCTGACAAGGCGAGCGTCATAACCGCTATACCACGAAGGCTTCATGGTTGAACGGGTCCAAATAACCGTCGGGAACATTGTATTACACAATGCTACGCCTCAAGAGGGCGTTCGGCCATATATATATATATATATATATATATATACTGTCATATATTATATATGTGTGGTAATTTAAATAATAAAACATGGCTCAGGTGCGCGACGGTATTTGCCTACAAGATACAATATACTTTATTATATATATATATGTATATATATATATATATATATACATATATACGTATATGTATAATTATGCATGTATACCATTACAAACAACACATGTCATATCTAGGAAACCTAATAACAGTATACTGTAATAGCCAGATTCAATGATACTTTAGGCCTAGTGCTTGTTTTATACTTTCAAAAAGCTGAGACTACAATGTACATAACAATTATAATCCTTTTCACACTGTCTTGACTAGGAGAAAGGGGATTTCGCCTACGCCGTAGCATTCATCCACGCCATAAGCAGGCAGCTCATCACCCCCGTAAAACTCTGTTTCGCTCGCGAGGTGAGTTCCTGCATGCATATTCATGCATATCAGTTCACCAAACTGACCTAAAATAACGCCCTCTATAATTTCTGCCCTAACTGTATGGGGAAAAAAATAATGCGCCCGCACCGGCCTCACGCTGGCGCAGCCACATTGCTATTTTCGATGTTCATATTTTACTCACCATGCCCTGTAGAATTGCCCAATGCAATGGTGCCCTTCCGAGTCGGTCGGCCAAATCAACTTTAGCTCCGTGAGCGATTAAAAGATCAACTAGTTCATCGTTACCCTGTGGAAATCATAATCGTTGCGTGCTTTAAATATATTGATATTGATATTATTGTTGATATTGACATTGACATTGATATTAAAATTGATATGGACATTCACAATATCGAAATCGACACTGACATAGACGCTGACATCGATTGATGATATTATTATTATTATTATTATTATTATTATTATTATTATTATTATTATCATAACGACTATTAATGTTAGTAGGCCTATTATTAGAATGATGATAATAATAATTATTATTTCGTAATTATTCGAATAGGTTAGTTTCATTTGATTTGTTTATTATAACTTTAACCTAAAGCTTGACCTAAACCTCACAGGAAGTTTACATCCATTGTACTTGGTTCAATATTCCGTCAAACAGTTCTACAGTAATAATAATAATAATAATAATAATAATAATAATAATAATAATAATAATAATAATAATAATAATAATAATAATAATAATAATAATAATAATAATAAAAATATTATTATTATTATTACGATCACTATTTGGGAGTGTCAGTTTAACTAACCTTTGAGTCGAAGCCTAATTCTGCTGCCCACATTAATGGCGTCATCAACTGATCGTCACTCATCTCTACATCCGCTGTCTCTTATACACATCTAGATGTGTATAAGAGACAGTATTAACACCATTATCACTATCACAGTTCTACAGTAATAATATTATTATTAATAATAACACCATTATCACTATCATATTATTATCATTTTTAGGTAAATTATTATAATATAATAATAATAATTATTATTACTATTATTGTCGTTGTTATTAGTCGTATTACATCTTTACTCATGTAGCTATATGCCCGATTGAATATGTAACTCGACAAACTACTGTGGCCTTACTCACTTCTCCAGCAGCAAAATGAAGAGCAGTTTGCTCCATGTGGTCCTTTACATGAATTATCTCACTGCAGTGATCAAGCAATGTAGTGGCACACTTTAGTGTCTGAAAGTATCAGAATATTAAAAAAAAGAAAATTAAAAAATAGAAAAACCCAGAATAGGCCTATAGTAGATATTATATAACACCTGAATAGATCCTTGTACAGTAATTGATTGGTGGATTTTTGTATCACGTGATATTGTTTATTGACACCATTGCGTCACTCATCATGAAAACTTAGTGCCATCAGTGCATTTTGTGTTCCATTCGTGTTGTCCCATTACACGCCTTCAACTAATATACTGTTTTCATTGGTTTCAAGAAGATGGACTGTTCCATTGAGAATGAAGGAATGTACACTAATAGAACCATACTGTTAGCCATTTCAAATCGACATGCCGGTTTAGTTTGGGTTGTCTTTGTTTATTGTATTGTCACACTTATTTTAACAACATGCCCAAGAACATTATATCATTATATTATAGAGCCCTGGTTCTCAACATTTTTCAGACTAGGTTCCATTTTTAAACCGTAATCGCTAAATGCCGCAGTATCACATATGGATTAGGTGGAGACGCTACTATATCTTGAGTGTCAGCAACAACCTCACCCTCATTGTAAAAAAAGGTGGGAATTTGCTTTTTTTATGTTGTCCCCATTGTATCTAAATCAAAATAATTTTTATCTTTTATTAATGAAAATAAAAAAGGCGATATGTGGAGGGGAATATTTTATATAAATGATAAATATACAGCAATCATCATTTTGTTAATATTATTATTAACGACATTTGTAATATATTGTTTACAAAAAAGTGCAAGGCCTTGTTTGTACCTTGTTCCGAATGGTTTTATGAAGTGCTGTTTGCCCGATCTTGTCCACTGCCATTGGATTCGCACCGCTTTTAAGAAGGAATCCAAGCTAAGAAAAAAACATGATCAAAAAATAGCCAAGTCACATGTAATGCATAAGCACGTTCATTCATTTCGGTTTAATGTAAGCGTGGTTTCATATCCTTTGTATAACTATTATTACCGTATTATATTGATTATACCATTATGCACATCAATTCACGTACCAGTACCTCGTTAATTCAATCGGCAGAGTACAAGGGAGAAAACTGAACCGAATCAACTATCATGTGGTTTCTCTTATTGGAAAACAAATATGCAAACTACAGTATACTGCATATCATATAATATTTTAATATATAATTTATAAAAAATATATGTAAATATTGACAGTTAAACAAAACAAAAACTAGATGATAAGTTACACAAGTAAACAAGAATGCGGGGGCTTGGATAAAAGGGCGTAGGCAATAGGGAGAGAGAGAGAGAGAGAGAG